AAGTACCACATGGGTGGATATATATATGAATCCAAATCTGCCGAATCACTCATGTTATGATCTTATACATCCTGGGTCTTCCCGTTCAAATTGCGTATATGTGTCAGAAGAAGGATAGCTATACTGATTCGGTATACTCTAAAGACGCCCTCGCTACGATATTGACGATCTCACAAAGATGAAATCTCAGTGAATTGTCATTTACTGATCTCATTTATTTCACAATTGAATCAATTTAAAAATTTAAAAAAGACCTAAAGTTAGGGATTTATCAATAGGTAATGTTGTACCAATGCCCAACCAAAGGGCGATTGCGGTACCAATCAAAAAGACAGTCGTCGCTACTGGATGGCGAAACGGATTTTGGAATTTATTTAACATTCTCTAAAAAAGGTACTGTTAATAATCCCGCAGGTACTGAAACCACTAAAAGAACCCCCAATAATTTATTGGGCACTGTACGAAGTATTTGAGTCCTCGGAATGGGATGATGCCGAAAAGGATTTTTGTCCAAACATTAATTGGTCGTGCATTAGCAGATGATATATACATGGGTCCGCGATGTATTGCCGCTAGAAATCAAGAACATTGGCATTTGACTTGTAAATCGATTCATAACCTTTCGGGCACAACCAATCTCTATTCGAACTCCCTTTACTTGTAGGAGTACATCTTGGATTTGTCGATTATGTTATGGCCGGAGTCCTACTCATGGCGACCTGGTTGAATTGGGGGAAGCTGTAGGTAATATTGCAGGTCAATCGATTTGAGAACCGGGTACTCAATTAACATTAAGACCTTTTTCATACCGGAGGAGTATTCACGGGGGTACTGCAGAACATGTGCGAGCCCCATTTAATGGAAAAATCAAATTCAATAAGGATTTGGTGCATCCGACACGTACACGTCATGGGCGGATGCCTTTCTATGTTCTATAGACTTGTATGTAACTATTGAGAGTGAAGATATTCTACATAATGTGAGTATTCCACCCAAAAGCTATGGAACTTGGGTATGGTCTTTTGTCGAAATGGAATGGCTTTTCTTTTTCTCTTTTTATTTATTATTTATCGTGAATGGGGGAATCACACATAGTATGCCCGATCAGCGTAAATAATCTTTTTCATTTTATTTCGTCAATTTTGGCTAAGAACTCAAAAGTCGTTTTTGCAGGAAACTGCTTGTCTATCTATTCAATCAGTTGAATCTCCTTGTTTAGGCAACCAAAATCAGAAACCAGTAGTAGATAACCTTTAACTACTCCTTATTTTTACCTAGAGAAGAGTAAGATCCTAATTAACTTTGTTATTTACCCACTTCATGAGGCATATACTATAAACAAGCCCAACTAAATGTGTTTGATATTAACAAAGCAAATAATAGAAGTAATTCATGTCAATTCTTAACGAAAAATTAGCATAATTATCCAAAAGAAAACACCAAATTTGAATCCGAAAAGAGTTCAAACATGGAGATTTTAAGAGAGAAAAAGAAGATAGGAAGAACTGACTGAGGTTGCGAGCGGTAGCTCTAACAGTGTAGCCTCGATTAAGCAAAAACTTAACAAGCCAGGAAGCTACGAAACCAGAGACCCCTGTTACACAAACCACCTTTCCTTCTCCACTTATGCTTCAATTTGATACCAAATTCTGGTATCGAGAAGCAATGTAACAGTAACTATGAAGAAGAAGAGAAGAAGAGAAGGAAAAGGAGAAGAGCAGACGAGCTGAGAATAGAGAAGAGAAGAGATCAGATTTCAATTGTCATTCAAAACGTGTGTTGCTCCATTACGAGTGTCCTATTCCTCTATGAAAATGCAAAGGAAATGCATAAGCTGAATATAGAGCTTAACTAATTTTCCCGCCAAACTGAAATTCAAAAACTAACAACAAAAAACACCTGAATAAGCCTAGTTGTGTGCTTTCATAACATTTGAGATGGCATCCTAGATAGCATCCTAGCAGCTGAAATATGTGTATCAATACCACACAATAGTTATTTCCTTTGCTTGGCTGCTGAATCAGAGCCTTTTTAATTCTACAACCAAAAAGGCTAAAACTTGGATCAATATTTGTGCAAAACCAATGTCAAAACGAGCAAAAAAAAAAAAAAAAAAATATCCTGAGAAAATATTAGAGAGTGAAAGGATTTAGTAGCAAATTGCCAAATTTTCAATAACCATATACTAGAATTACAAATAAAAGACATGAACTATTAGCTTATAAGAAGAATAAAAGGAAGAAGAAAAATTACCGTGGAAAGAGAACCTCAGGAAGAGCTGATAGGGGCGGTGGTAGTTGATTGAAGGGGAAGTAGCGGTGGGAAAAGTGGGGGGTTGGGGTTAAAATTGGATTTGGGCAGTGAGATGGCATGTGATGTGGCGTTCAATATTAGGCCACGTTGGATGGTGTTGGCCATGGTGGAGAACTTAATGAAGGGTATTTTTGTACCAAATCTGTAAAATAGTAGACTGAAAGTATAACGGAGGGCATATATGATCTTTTTTGTATAGTAGATGGATAATTTTTGACCTTATTCGTAGTTTTTAATAATAATTTGTTTTTTTAATTTTATTTTAGTTTTTGCTAACTTAGTTTTTAAGTTGTTGCAGAGAGTTTTTGTGAGAAAAGTACTTGAATGCTTGAAAGTTGAAAGAGCAATAGTGCTAGCAATTTGTTTGAGCTTTCGTAAAACTATTGTTGCAATTGCAAAAGACCAAACAAACACCAACTTGTTTTTAAAAGCTCTTTTTGGATGCTTCCTGCAATTTCGAGTGTGTCCTCTTACTTTATAGGGAACCCGACCTCTATCTATAACTATGAAAGAGAGATAACTGTTGCAGATAAACTAATTTATTCCATTTAATTGACTTGCTGGAATTATCATACCAATCAAATTGAATATGTGAATTGGTTGGGCCAGAAAACTTAAAAGACTTTAATTGTCCTCTTGATTTACTTGGCATGTGGTTCTCCTTACTAGGCCCTAGCTGTATCTAGTTGTGTCCAAGCTAGTATAGTCCCTGAAAAATAGTCCAAGTAACAAAAAGTAAATACTAGTGGTATCGGGACTGAGGCTTACACTCGAGAGGGAGGTTTTCCTGTTCGTGCTCGTGTGAAGCGTATGCGTACAGGTGTGTGCTAGGTGCAAGATATGGAAAGAAGCGAAAGTAAAGAGATAATAGGAAAGCTCTAGCATACAACAAATTAGTAGATAAACCTCAATGACCATGAAATGTATAAATGACAATAGCATTACCCTAATCTGGTGAAAATCCTTATACACTTATGCAGCATGACATCAGAAACCTGTCTAATTAAAGACACATTCTGCATAAACTTGTTACAACAAGGGTCTGGAGACTACAACTCATTTACTCAAAGTTATAGTGCTTGTCCACTTCTTCAGAAACATCCCAAGTGCAGCTCATTCCTTTGGGGAACTCAACCAAGTCGCCTGCACCTATCTCAACGACCTCCTCAGACCCGTCAGGGTAAACCTTCACTTTTCCCTTCAGCAAGTAACATGTCTCTTTGGCAGAGTATGTCCATGGGAATTTGCTAGGAGGACAGCCCCACCTATTTCACAACAATGTCTCTAATTATAGGGTTGGGAGTAAACAAATCAGTCAGATTAAGCACAAAAAAAAACTTATTTAAGATTCTAGATGAAATGATAGGAGAGAATTCCAGGGTCAAAGGAGCAACAGAAGATAGACCACCCCTTTAAACATGATGCATCAGAGTGAATCAACTAGTGAAGGTTAAATAAGGATCCCCAAACATGGTGCAATATGTTACTAAGCATTGTAAAGTACCTTGTAGCTCTAGGTCAAAGTTTCACTTCCAAGGAAGGTTTGATGTAACCTTGAATTCAGATACAATGCTAGTACAACTTACTTTCCCTTTCACCATACCTATTTCTTTGGCAGGCTTCAGGAGACACATATGATAAAACTATGAATTTAGATTATGGAGGTATCTTTCATCTAACAGGCCCCAATTCTTATAATTTTGATGCTTAATCACAATTAGAAGGCATCGGTCTAAATCACAAAATATTCGCTTAGGTATTGTAGAAACCTGCTGTATTATCTCCTCCCGTCTTTTGTTTTTCTCCCCTTTATTTACTTCTCTTCTCTGCTAATCGAGTTCAAGTTTAATCCTATGAGAGGAGGAAAAGATTTTCTATTTCGCGTGCCTAACCACTATATATATCTACAAACTGGAAGTACACAAGCGAAACATGCTGCCTAGGTTTAAAAGGAAATTAGCTGTCTCTGAAAAATCGAATGTCAATAAGACTTCAGGTGGACAAACAACGTAACATCCATAATTTACATAAAACAGTTCTTACCGCATCAAGAATGAGCATGAGAAAATGTCAAAAGTGTGTTATGATGAGGAGCAATATTTTGAAATTTCCCTTGGCCATCTAACTTGAGACATCAAGAAGGAAAAACAAGGCAAATCTTCTCTACACGCAGGTGAGAGAGGCCAAAATATCATTTTAAGACTTGGAGCTAAAGGGAAAAGTATTCCTTTCAGTTAGGATAAAACTAAAATTGAGTAAACTATTTCAATTAAGATTTAAGATTAAAGCAGACTGCACTAAATCCAAAATTGCACTTTTCTACAAACAGAAATTGGTTATCGAGTACCCACCTGCCCGACTAATTCAGATTAAGCATACCCTAATTCCATATATCCTACTACCACACGAAAAGGGGTTACTCTTATGTTAGGGTTTAAAGGTTAGTATAGAAATACAAAGAGAACAAAATAAAGAAGTATATACTTGGGCCAAGATCTGACGCCGAGGTCGGTGAGTTTAGATTCAGGAGGGTTCTTAACGACCTTCACTCCCGCTATCTCTGTAGCCATGTTATCTGCTGCTTGTATTCTCACTCCCCTTCTTCTGCTATTTAATAATGGTATTTTGTAGCCGAATGAGCTGCTGCTTATGTTGGAATATCTATTCGCATTAATTGTTCCCACTCCGCAGATGCTACTCCCCACACAAGCCATGCTTACCTTATTCAATAGAAGATGCACACAATACTAATATTTATATGTTCATAATTACTTGTATCTTATCATTTTCTACCAGATATTGTTTCCTTCAAATGTGGACCAAATTTCATCAACCTAGTTTTTTTTTTTTTTTTTTTTTTTTTTTTTTTTTTTTTTTTTTTGGTTGGGTTGTACGCACATTTTTAGAGTTTTGAAAAAATGAACTAGAAATTTGACACAATTTATTCTTTGATTTAGAATAAAAAGAGATAATCTCTAAAGTATCTTCAAATTCTTTTCGTGGAGAAATGATCTTGAATTTGATTATTTGTCATAATTCGTAAACACGTGAATAATTGCCATGAATTATAGTATGTAATTTGTAGTAAGAGTTTTAAGTTCTATGTTAGTATGTATTGTTTGTGTAAAAAACATGTATACGTTACATTACTTTTATATATAAGGAGTATTATCACTTTTAGCCCGCCAGAAACTATTTAAATTTGGTAGCCGAAAAAGTGTATAATTTTTGTATATAACTTACACAATGTATATATATACAAAGAAAATATTAGTTTTATAGATTTTTTTCATATATTATTTTTATAGCGGCTATACAGTGTCATTTTCCGATATATAAATCTCTTTTAAGGACCCGACCCATATTTAATACGGATAGAAAATGAGTTAACCGGCGAATAGTATGGATAACCATATTATCCATGGCTTCTTGAATATGATCATTTTTAGGAGAATTCCTAATCTCCCAAAATTAAGGAACCCCCAATTTGAGTCTTTACAAGTGCAAGTGTTAAACACATTAGTTATTTATTTTCTAAGTGTACAATACGGTTCTTATCCATATTTGACTCATATTTAAAAAGTTTATTATCCAACCCATTTTTTAGTGGGTAATATGGATGAATAACTGTTTTTCTTAATCTATTTTGCCACCGCTAGATTTCGACATGAACTACTTCAAGAATCACCATTGATGGTACAAAAACCTATTAGACATGGGTATAGGATGGAAAACCGAGCACTAGGTGGAGTCCAAGATTAGTAACTCATATCAGCCTCAAGCTTATCCAAATAAAGGATCAAGGAGCTCGAACATGACCCTGAGAAGTGAGAACACAGCATTATTACCTTCTCTACATGGACACCATCATGTATGACACTGTGTTCTTACTATGTCACCCTCATTCTGATCTCTGGTGCGCCTTTCTTGTTTATTTTTTAATATATACACGTTCGTATTGTTGGACTTTGGTATTCGTGAGCAAACATGAATGTCCTCATGCCAAGGACTACATTTACTAGGAGAAGCCGCAAAATCATTTTCAAAGATCTGCATATACTTTTAAAAAAAACCAACTAGGTTAAATGTCGAGCCTTCTACTGACATCATGCATGTTCCGTCGACAAGAACAATAATTTGGATTCAATCCAATGAAGTTGAACTTGAGCTTAGATACTTGAAGATTGTAAAGAAAGACTGAAGTTTTTCTTCTGCAAAGCACTCTCTCACTTCTCTTGTAGCTTCTGTGATCTCCTTTGACTTTATTAAAAGACCTGTATTCATAATGTATTAAAGTAGTTTCTGAGCCGAATCCGAACATACAAGTAAAATTGCGAACATCACAGGACACTTGTGCCGAGATAAACTCTTGAGATACAAATGCTCTCATTGTATCCACATTACAATATTAACAAATTAACAGTTAAACAGATGAATTCTGAGATTTTTTACAACATGCTCCTTGTCTAATTTAAAAAGTTCTTAATCTACAACATTAGCTCGATTCTACAACCGCTTCTCAACAGTACAATGCAGAAGCAAATGTTAATAACACCAAGTAAACAGAGTAGAGCATGGCTCAGTTAAATACTTAAATGTGTTACCAACGTCGCGTGTTGAAATAAATATACTGGGGTCAGTATCACCTGTGGAAAACGCAAATGCCAAAGGTGCACTGATACATGTCCATCAAATTCTTGTCGTCAAGTGGTATTAACATAGCAGAAGACTCAAAAATGGTTGAGTTCCACCTTGCTTGCCTAACTGTCGCAAGGTGAGCTGAAGGTTAACATGCAGCTCACTGGGTTGTCACACTCTTTGCAAGATTGCGAGGTTGATCAACATTGTGTCCACGTAGAACAGTCAAATGATATGCCAATAACTGAAAAACATGACAAAGAAAGTAAATATATAGAACATATCTTTAGAACAGAATTTAGCTTGCAGTTTGCAGATCATTGGATTTGCTGGCCAGAAATTATTATGGAACATTAATCATAAAAGAAGCTTGTATTCCTAGAATTTCCACTTTTCCAGTAAATTGAGCAATACACTGAAGTTCCTTATTCTAAAATGAGGAGAAGGGTAATTAAGGAAACAAAGAAAATTATGGAGAAATGCACATCACACACATACCACGTGTGTGTGTGTGTGTACCTTATAATGTCAGCGAGCTGCCCAACACGAAGGCTTAAGAAATTGAAATAATAAGTTATGACCCACTAAAGAGGAGAAAACTTGACAACTACTTTTTGCTTGGCACTGGCACCAGAATTCCAGAAAGATAAGATCAAAAGACTATAAAGATCGATTAAGCTCATAGGATTGACAAATTATAGAAGAAATCAGAAAAGTAATAATAGGCTTGAATTTACACATGCAGAATGTTCCTAGTGAATCCAATTTCCCCTAAATATTCTATGTCTTTTCACTTAATTTCTCTCAACGAATGTGGGACTGAAGAAAATAAGCAATTTGGAGAGAGAGACATGAAAAGATAGAGCTTGAGACTAGAGCTGCGACAGCACCTCTGGGTAGCACTGCAACAGATCGCTGCAACGCCTCAGTCAGTAAATCAAAATCTTTGGTACTCAAGCCTGGATTTCGAGCACTATATATGGATACATTCAACACTAAAAAGGGTGATTCTAAATGCTAGAACTTTTCACCTGAATAGAGAAGAGAATATCCAATGGAACCCTTGGAGAAGAATGAAGAGAGGAACGGAATCCTTGGAGAAGGATGAAGAGAGGAAGAGGAGAGACAAGTTTTCTCTAATCTCTTATCTAAGTTTACCATGTCGAAATTAACGTTATTCTTGTGATGTTTAAATGGTATATGGAGCATATTCTTTTGTATTAGGAGTAGTGGAATCCAATGTCTCTAACTTGGAGTTGTTTTAATTGAATTCTGTGGTGATTGTGTTTATTAGATTTACTGAACTTTTGTATTCAATTCTTGTTGAATCTTTTTGTGGCCAAACATGTTCTATTTTTCATTAATTATCTTAGATTGGGCGCTTAGTTATATATCCATGAGAAGTACATCTTATCCTATCAATTAAGCACCAAATAAATACATCAAATTGATTAGGTACTTAACTTTTTTGTTTCTTTTTGCTGAAAACTTTATAAGGTACTTAATTGAAAAAGGACTGGTGCAGCTCATTCAAAAGCAGAGGTGTAACAAAATATGGCTTCCAGACCTTAGTACATTACTTTAGACGTAATAACTTACCTAGTCCAAAAGAGACACACTATTAGGAATAATAGGAATAGTCAATCTAACTGAGAGAATGATTGGACAAGGAGTGGTCTAAGTTAACCTCTAGTAGGCACTTAATTGAAAGAGGAGTGATCTAGTTTGACTTCTAGTACACTTTATCATTCCTCTTCTCTGTATAGATATCATAAATCTTTATGAAAATTGTCACTTTGTCTTACTTTAAAGGTATAGATATCATAAATCTTCAAATTGCACCTTAAAACTAGAAACTCGTTATGGCCATTTAAGAGAAAAGAGTATTTTTTTTTCCCAGTCATTCACAGTGGCTGAGGTCATATCACAGAACTGTTCTCTTACAAATTCACTAGTGTGTGCTTATTGTATTTCGTTATTTGATCAATTAGAACTAATACACGTGAACTAGGCAATTAGAACTAATTGGGCAACTGACTTTCTACAAGATGTTCTAGGAGTGTTGTGACTTGCAGGTTTATGATAAACAGGAGTCATACACAAGGTATATGCAGTAAGGTCGGAAACAATCAGCTAGCTGTCAAACTAATATAAAGGTTCTTGTTCGGAATTGACACAAACATAGAATGACCTTACTTAATATCCTGTTTCATAGTGTAGATTTCATTCTTATGCACGTTTATGGTGTGAAAGAGTCACATCATAAGAGTTAAGGTTAAAAGCAATCAGCCAGCCAACTAAGTAAAACAAAGATTCATGTTTGCAGTCCAATCCCAACCAGAACATGACATTACTCAACTATCTGATTTCTTAGTGTAGATTTGATTATAACAGAATTTTAGAAAATTGCCCTTCTGTATAAAATGCTAGGCCTAGTAAAGGACAATCTGCCATTTGACCCCTGAATGAAAAAAAAAAATACACACACACACATACAACAACAACAACAACAAGCCCAGTAATTTCCCACAAGTGGGGTCCGGGGAGGGTAAGATGTACGAAGCCTAACCCCTACCCTGGAAGGATAGAGAGGCTGTTTCCGATAGAGCCTCGGCTGGAGAACGGATGAAAAAAGTAATGGCAACAAGTAGGATAACAACAAGATAAAAAAGACCGAAGCCAAGAAAGCAGTTAAACTCTAGGTAGTAATAGCAATCTATGACACACACACACACACACACACACACACACACATATATATATATATATATATATATTACACACACAAAAAAAAAACTGTTTAAAATATCTTATAAGTGAAAAGACAGTAGTACTTTGCAAAATGACAGACATTCGCAGCCAGAAATTGAAGCAGCTCCTTCTATGAGGAAACAGAATGCCATTCATGTGACACTTCAAAGCCCCATAAGCTACAGCCTTCTAACCTCCAAAATTGCTAGAAGCACAGAATTGTAGCTTTATCTTAAACATCATGAGGTAAAGGATAAACTTTTCCCTAATTCCATATTTTCCCACTCTCTCTCTCAAGACACAAGGAGGAGATTTGTGTGACAATCTACTAACCCTAAGACATGCACTTCAAAGCTCTATAAGTTACGGCATTTTAACTCCAGATCACCTAGAAGCACAGAATCATAGCTTTATCTTAGGTGTCATGAGGTAAAGGAGGAACTTTTCGCTAATTCCATGTTCTCCCACACACACTCTCAAGAATACATTTAGATAAAGACTAAGTAACGTTACTATCATGGTTATCTTTCCACAAAAGTGTTACTATAGAGCAAGAGCTAGAAATAGGATAGAAATTCATTCACAACAAAAAGGTTTAGGGCCAAAAGTATGACTGGCACTTCCCAAAAAAGAGAGAGATCCATTGAACTATTGCAATATGCACCTAAAGCATATTAGAAGGGCTACCTGTAATGGAACGACGTTAACTACAGGCTGCAAACAGTCCTCAACCTGAGGAACTTCAATTACTCGACAGGATCCACCAACAGAAACAGATGCTGCATCTCCTTTTGTGCACATTACTATCAGTCGGCCTTTCCTCGCATGAAGCTGCTGAATGACAGATTGCTGTTTGCTGCACATTAGCAAAATTTCAGCAAATAGGAAGGAAACTTATGTAAACACACTTTATAAGCTAAAAACTAACCTGAAACAAGCATCACAAGTGGCAATTACCACAATAGGGAGATTTTCATCAACCAAAGCCAACGGGCCATGTTTCATTTCGCCAGCAAGTATTCCTTCACTGTGCATCAGTGCTACCTCCTTTACCTTCAAAGCACCTTCAAGAGCTGTTGCATAGTTATAACCTCTTCCAAATACAAGAAGCGATTGCTCAGCAATCAGTAGCTTAGCAAGATCTTTTATTTCGTTGTCAAGCTTGAGTACCTCTTTCACCTTACCTGAAATCATCCATACACGTACAAAAAAGAAAAGCAAATGAAACATGAACCTTTAGACTTTAGAGTTACATGTATCCTAAAACAAAACAGGAATAAGAGGACTGTAACATCAAATGAAAGCGTACATGGCAAGTCAACTAGACCATCTATTATTGCTTCTCTTCTTGCTTGATTCGAGAGTGTGTCACCTCCGATTGCAAGAGCCAACATAGCCATCACAATGATTTGGCTCGTATATGCCTGTTGATCCAGGAGGTAAAATGAAGCCAAAGATGATAGCAATTAAAAGTCAAGAAACTACGATTTATGTACCTTTGTACTGGCCACTCCTATCTCACAGCCCGCATTTATATGAACACCGCAGTGAGTACGCCTAGCAATTTCACTACCAACAGTGTTTGTAATGCCAACACATAATGCGCCATTTTCTAAAGCATACTCCAGTGCAAGCAAAGTGTCAGCAGTTTCTCCCGATTGACTAACAAAGACAGCTGTGTCTTCTCTATATATTGGTCCCTGTCTATCCACCAAGTCACTGGCAATCTCCATGGTTACAGGAATACCTAATAGACAAATAAAGCCAGTCAAACTATTAGTGCACGAAATCCCAATGACTCCACTAGATGATGATAGAGATCAGACTGACCAGAAAGCTCTTCCACAATGGACCTTGCAGCTAAAGCTGCATTGTAACTTGTGCCACACCCAATAAAAACAATCCTTCTGCTTCTCCGTATAGTTTTGAGGTGATCCTTTAGGCCCCCCAAAAGAACAGTCTTTGCTTTAGACGATCCTCCACGAATAAGCCTCCCTCGCATCGTAGTAGTCACAGATTCTGGTTGCTCATGAATTTCTTTTTGCATGTAATGCTCATATTTTCCTTTATTTATCTGCTCCACCTCCATCTCAAGAATGGACAGGGCACGTTGAACAGAAGCAGGCCGACTAAGAGTACCACCACGGTTATTCTTAGCCATGTCTAACTTTAAAATTGATACACCTCCATCCTGGATCATCCAACACGGTAAGTTCTAGATTTGATTCTATAGAAAGAAAAGAAGGGGGAAAAAAACAATTTACATAAACATAGATAAATAGATATAAAGTTTGTAGCGAAATGAATGTCCTCCAAACTCTGGAGTTTTTTCAGCCCTTTAGGGGATTGGAAAGAATAGATTACTTCTTTGCAAAAACTAATACAAAATCCTACGGGTGTAGCAACAATTTTTTTGAAAAAGATAACATAGTTGTATATTGATATAAGACTTCACTAAAATTGTGAAGTCCCCCATAATTACAAAAAAAGGATGCCCTAGCAAAAATTAGGCACTCCTAGTCCTTCTTCTTCTTATAAGGACTCTAAAACATCTAAAATGGATTCATGATCCTCCAAAAGCTGACCTTTACACCAAAAATAAAAAAGAGCTAGACATTTCATCTTAATCTTCTGAATGCTGCTAGACTTATCTTCAAAGCATCTTTGATTCCTTTCTTCCCAAACTGTCCACCATATGCATGCTGGGACAATTCTCCATCTCTCTCTTTCTCTACAAGGTGTGCCCATTTTACTCCAGCTTTCCAGAATATCAAGGACTCTTCCTGGCATTGCCCATTGAATTCCCCTCAGACTGATGAAGATTCTCCATATCTGAGAGGTGAACTTGCAGTGCAAAAAGAGATGGTGAATTGTCTCTGCCTCCTCTTCACATAGATAACATTTGGAGCACAATTGAAAACCTCTTCTAGTTAGATTGTCATGAGTTAGAACTGCTTCTCTTGCCCGTAGCCATGTGAAGCATGCCACCTTATGTGGTATTTTTACTTTCCAAATCATCTTCCATGGCCAACATTCCACCTGATTATTGGACTGATTGAACTCCTTGTAAGCATCTTTAACTGAGAACTTCCCTTGACTATTGCCTTGCCATTTGATCATGTCTTGAACTTGGTTTGAGATGATGCCACTGAACTGCTGCAGAGAACTGTAGAATTCCATAACTCTGTCAATCTCCCAATCATTTAACAGTCTTCTGAATGTGAGATTCCATCCTTGGTTTGACCACACCTCTTCTATAGTAGCATTCTGTTGTTGACACAAATTGAAAATATCCGGGAATATTCCCTTCAGAGATCCTTGGCCTAGCCAATTGTCCTCCCATAGTGAAATCTTTCTACCATTACCAACTTTGAACTTTGCCTTGTTGATTAGTTTTGGCCATAAGTTCCTAATTGATCTCCACAGACTGACTCCATATGGTCTTCTTACTGTCTTGGTTGTCCAGCTTCCTTCCTTTCCATATTTTTCCCTAATCACTTCTGTCCACAGAGATTGCTCATCTGCTGCAAATTTCCACAACCACTTCAGCATCAGACTTTGATTCTGCACTTTCATATTTTTGATCCCCAACCCCCCTGATTTTTTGCTTGTAATTAGATCACCCCACTTAACCAGGTGAAACTTCTTTTTGTCACAGTTACCTTCCCATAGAAAGTTTCTTCTAAGGGCATCAATTCTGTTCACTATACTAGCTGGCATTGGAAATAAAGACATCATGTATGTAGGCATGGCATCCAAAACAGAATTGATCAAAATCAGCCTCCCTCCCATTGACAAATACTGGTTCTTCCAGTTAGACAATTTCTTTTCACATTTTTCCAACACATTATTCCATATTTCTTTTCACGGGTGTAGCAACAATTGTAGTAACATTTCTTAGATGCAAAGGCTGAACACCATTGAATCGATAGTTTGTCTAACCCCACATCACTAGTTAGTCCTTATGTCCTAGATCAACAAAATCTGTAGGTTTTGGACAGAGGTGCAATCTAACCATTCAAGGGCTCACTCATGTGCTTCCCAGGTGTTGCCCCAATATAGAGATGTGAGAGTATCCACATCTTCACAGAACCCTGACTGACACATTCAACCCCCTCTCCCTTTTGGGAACCATTAGTGCAAACCCACCAGAAGGAAATAATCCTACTCCAACCTTGAATTGCTATGGTCCCTGTTCTCTTTAACATGCTACAACCAGATAATACTCTTTGGCAAATGATAATGCTCCAAGTCTTTCAACATATACAATTCTACCAGCCTCTGATGATGTCCACTTGAGATCTTTTATTGTAATAATCGTATTTATAAAAGTCTTTCTCTTGGGATACAATCCTTTTGCATCCTCTAAGTCTCCACTCTCCAGTATGACCTCCATTATTACCTTTAATTACCTCAGAATCAGAATATAGCCTTGGAGCAACGGTAAAGTTCTCTCTGTGTGATCTATAGGTCATGGGTTCAAGCCGTGGAATAGTCACTGATGCTTGCAGCAGGGTGGGCTGCTTACATCACACCTCCTTGGGATGCAGTTTTTCCCCAAACCCTGTGTGAACGTGGGATGCTTTGTTCACCGGGCTGCCCTTTTTTTTACCTCAGAATCAGAATATGAAATAACAGTGATAATTCTGACTAGACATAGGATTTAACTAGAGAAGCTTCCTTCCTGAAGCATCCAGTCCAGGGAATAATGTGAAATATTTCACACTGAAACTTCGAGTACTTACACATGTGAATGTATTGTGAATTGACAGAATGTTGGAGGTTCATAACCGATGACTAAATCTCCAACATAAGCTAAAATAGGGCAATAAAGAGCCATGCCGAGCGTATTAGTACAACTATCAGATAAAGGTTAGGCTAGACCAGCTAATTTGTCACCCAATTCAAGTTAACAAGCGGAAATGATGGGTTAGTCACTTTCACACAGGTTTTCAGGAAATATTTCAAAAATCAAAGGAAAAAAGCAGATAGACATGATGGTACAACAAGGAAAAGTTGAGTGGAGGGGCACCAAAGAGCCTCTACTCCTGAGGCCTAATAGTACTCTGACTAATGTAACTGGGTTCTCTTATGAACTTCCCGAGAGTTTTGCAAGAAAGTTTCAAAATTTATTCTCTGGAGATTGACTTTCTTAACTCCATATGAAATTGACGCTAAAATGCGGCAATACATCGCGTGGACTGTTAAGTAGTTAGTCATGTATAGTGTCCCAAATCGGGAAGTAGATACCTATTAGTATGTAATCACTGTATATATAGGGCATTGTACAGCACTTTAGAGAATGAATAAGATTTTTCTCCCGTGCATTTTCACATGGTATCAGAGCAATCGTGAGAGATTTATCACTGTGCATAAATTCCAGTGACTCCAGGAAGAGTAATCAGTCAACCAGAAAAAAAACACGAGTCTGCCGCAAGTAAAAAGCCACTATCCGTCAGTGTTGTGCAAAAACCAACACCACCAGGAAGTAGATCAGAGCTCGGCGACCAACCCATACAAAATTCTCCGGCAGAAAAGGACGCACGCGCCCCCACGCGTCGCCCGAAGAATTTCTCCGGCTAATCTCCGACGCCCACGCGCCGGCGCGTAAGGCAGTTTCCGGCCAGAATTTGGGGAAACTTCTTCGGGACAGTGTCTTCTCCTTGCAAATCCCAGCATACCCATCCAATTTAAATCAAATTATGTTCACTTTTATATTTTTTCCAGTGTGAACAGTAATTCCCAAAAAAATTCTGCTTTTTCGGTGCATCATTATAATGGCATTCGTATCAGAAGCCTTTAACTCACAATTTCGTTGGATCCAATTCATTGAATCTAATCCTGAGGATTTCTTTACCGGATTATATTTAGTTCCTTCGGTACAAAGCATGTAAACAGACATCTTCAGGGTCTTGGGTCATTGATTCAGGTGCATCTAATCATATTTGTGGTAACAAATCTCTTTCCACTACTATTTCATATTTTCAATCTCTTCCAACAGCCACAATGGCCAATGGATCTCAAACCATGGCAACTGGAATAGGTCAAGCAAGTCCACTTCCTACCTTTAGATTCAGTTCTTTACGTTCCCGGTAGTCCTTTTAATCTCATAGCCGTTAGTCGCTTAGCCAAATCACTTAAATGCTCTATTTTATTTCTTGATGACCTTGTTTTTATACAGGAATGCAGTACAGGGCGGATCATTGGTACCGGGCGTGAATAAGATGGACTTTATTACCTTATCCTTGCAAAATCACATGGACTCACATCTTGTCTTCCTTCAACAACTTGTCCTGTTATCGATTCACCAGATTTACTACATAAACAGTTGAGACATCCCAGTTTGTCAAAACTTCAGAAAATGGTACCTGGTTTATCTCACTTATCCACTCTAAAGTGTGAGTCATGTCAGCTCAGTAAGCATACCCGCTCCCATTTCCCTCGGCATCTTGATAATCGAGCAGATCCACCTTTTACTTTAGTCCATTTAGATGTTTGGGGTCCTAGTCGGGTCAGTTCTACCTTGGGATTCCGCTACTTTGTCAGTTTTATTGATGTTTATTCCAGGTGCACTTGGATATTTTTAATGAAAAATCGATCTGAGTTGTTTTCTATTTTCCAGACCTTCCACGCTGAAATTCAAAATCAATTTGGGGTTTCTATCCGCACATTTTGTAGTGATAATGCCCTAGAGTATTTGTCTTCCCCATTTCAGTAGTTTATGAACTCTCATGGGATTATTCATCAAACATCTTGTTCGTACATATCTCAACAAAATGGGGTAGCAGAAAGAAAGAATAGACATCTTATTAAAACTGCTCGTACCCTACTCATACAATCTCATATTTCGTTGCATTTTGGGGGATGCAGTTCTTACATCTTGCTATCTTATTAATCGTATGCCATCTTCAGCTATCCAGAATCAAGTTCCATTCTCTATCCTGTTTCCTAACTTACCTTTGTTCTCTCTTCCACCCCGTGTCTTTGGAAGCACGTATTTTGTTCATAACCTTACTCCAGGAAAAGATAAGTTAGCTCCTCGTGCTCTTAAGTGTGTATTTCTGGGTTACTCGAGAACGTAAAAAGGGTATCGATGCTATTCTCCTGACCTCCAGCGGTACCTTATGCCCGCTGATGTTACCTTCTTTGAAACCCAATCATACTTCACAAGTCCAGGTAGTCACTTAGATATTTCTGAGGTGCTACCAGTTTCAGCTTTTGGAGATTCAGTCACTATCTCCTATTCATCTTCCTCTCCAACTCCAACTCCACCACCTCTCCAACTCCAATTCCACCACCTAGTCTAGTTCAACCTTCTACAGATCCACCACTCTTGACTTACATCGTCGTCCACGTCCAGCATCAGGCCCAGGTGATTCACGTCCTGCATCAGATTCTGCACCTACTGCGGACTTGTCTCCTCTTAGTCAACCAATTGCACATCCACAAAGGTGTACAATCCACACTTAATCCTAATCTCCATTATGTCAGTTTATGTTATCATTGTCTGTCATCACCTCGTTCTGCTTTTATATCATATTTGTCCATTGTTTCTATCCCTAAGTCTACAGGTGAGGCACTATCTCATCCAGGATGGCGACATGCTATGATTGACGAGATGTCTGCTTTACATGCGAGTGGCACTTGGAGTTTGTCATCTTCCTTCAGGTAAGTCTACCGTTGGTTGTCGTTGGGTTTATGCAGTCAAAGTCCGCCCGGATGGCTAGGTTGATCGGCTTAAGGCTCGTCTTGTTGCAAAAGGGTACACTCAGATTTTTGGGCTTGATTATAGTGACACTTCTCTCCCATGGCTAAAGTAGCATCTGTTCGTCTCTTTTTGTCTATGGATGATGTACGTCATTGGCCTCTTTATCAGTTAGACATTAAGAATGCTTTTCTCCACAGTGATCTTGAGGAAGAAGTTTATATGGAGCAACCACCTAGTTTTGTTACTCAGGGGGAGTCTACTGGTCTTGTATGCCGATTGCGCAGGTCACTATATGGTTTGAAACAGTCCACTCAAGCTTTGTTTGGTAAGTTCGGCACAGTTATTCAGGAGTTCGGCATGACTCGTAGTGAAGCTGATCACTCTGTGTTTTATCGGCATTATGCTCCTAATTTGTGTATTTATCTAGTGGTTTATGTCGATGATATTGTTATTACTGGTAATAATCAGGGTGGTAATACTAATCTGAAGCAGCATCTCTTTCAGCACTTCCAGACTAAGGATCTGGGCAGATTGAAGTATTTTCTAGGTAGTGAGGTCGTTCAGTCTAGCTCAGGTATTATTATTTCACAGCGGAAGTATGCCTTAGACATTCTTGAGGAGACAAGAAGGAGCAGCTGCAATATGTGAAATATAGTTGTTTACATTATTTGTACTATTGGAAAGATGGAAATATTGTTATGAATTTTCATGATATGCTGGAGATGCTAGACCGCTTAGGATTTAATATTTTTAAGCCAGCAGTATCTTTGTATTTTTACAGTATCAGCTTGATACTGTTTTTAATAAAATCTTCACCGCATAAAAAAAAAAATTCTTGAGGAGACTGGAATGATGGGCTGCAGACCTATTGACACTCCTATGGATCCGAATACTAAGCTTCTGCCTGGACAGGGGAGCCTCTTAGAGATCCTACGAGATATAGGAGGTTGGTTGGCAAACTGAATTACCTCATAGTGACTAGACCTGACATTTCTTTTCCGGTGAGTGTTGTAAGCCAGTTTATGGATTCTCCCTGTGATATCACTAGGATACAGTTGTTCGCATTCTTCGGTATATGAAGTCAGCTCCAGGCAAAGGATTACTATTCGAGGATTGAGGTTACGAGAAAATTGTTGGGTACACAAATGCTGATTGGGCAGGATCACCTTCTGATAGACGTTCTATGTTTGGATATTGTGTTCTAGTAATAGGTAATTTGGTCTCTTGGAAGAGCAAGAAACAAAATGTAGTTACTCGATCTAGCACCGAAGCCGAATATCGGGCCATGGCTATGGCAACGTGTGAGCTAGTTTGGGTCAAGCAATTGCTCAAGGAGTTGAAGTTCGGAGAATCAGCAAGATGGAACCGGTGTGTGATAATCAAGTTGCTCTTCATATTGCGTCAAATCTGATGTTCTATGAGAGGACTAAACACATTGAGATCGACTGTCACTTTGTCAGAGAAAAGATACTCTCAGGAGATATTGTTACAAAGTTTGTGAAGTCGAATGATCAGCTTGCAGATATTTTCACTAAGTCTCTTACTGGTTCTCATATTAGTTACATCTGTAACAAGCTCGGTACATTTGATTTATATGCACCGGCTTGGGGGGAGTGTTAAGTAGTTAGTCATGTATAGTGTCCCATATCGGGAAGTAGATACCTTTTATTATGTAATCATTGTATTGTACAACACTTTAGAGAATGAATAAGATTTTTCTCCCGTGCATTCTCACATAGACATTATGCAGGCCTTAGAATGAAATGGCAACACTGACAATAAATAGCTGAGTGTGGACATGCAAGAAGTCTTTTTGAATTGATCAGCCATGTCCTTACATTTGAAGCATATGCTCTTCAAATGATAACTAAGATATTCTTGATGAAAACCTAACATCCTGAACTAGGTAAAAAGGAACTAACGAATGAGCTCTCCCAAGTCCAAGGAACAATGGGTCATCCGATGGACACAAGGTCTAGAATGCTGGCTACAACCATAAAGCTGAAAAGGAAATTATTACACGTGTGTCTTCCTATGTGCATTCAGAATTAAATACCAATACACGTTATGTACACTTGATCTTAGCCAAAAGGCCGAGAACGGTACTGACCAAGTGCTGGTGAGGTGTTCCTCACTAAGTACAAATTCTTCTTTCTTTGAGAACTCAACACAATCAAACAGAGTCCCTCCTAAGAAGGATAAGTTAGAAGGTAAAGAAAAAAGAGAAAGAAACCAGAAAGAGAACTCAGGCATGTTCAAAGTGAGGGAACAGTAAACCCATATCAAAATATGGTAATATAGCCAAGAATTCTATTCATGAAACAGCAGCTCGGCCGCTAAATATATATATAAAATCCACTAACTCTTCATGCTGACAGCCTTGGACTAGTGACACTGTTCTTTGAAGAGGTAAGGCATCAAGTCCCCCTCTCATATGTATACACTTTTTGGATTTTCATTTACGCGTAGGAGTCCATGCCTAACCTCCTACTATAATGCGGCGTTAAATATTATTTAAAAAAGAAATTGGCAACGTTCTTTTCCCAATACGCTCAGAATGAAGGATTATCAACTAACATATCATACAAGTTGAGAAATGTTGTTACTTTTGTAAGAGAAGTTTGAGAACATTCCATCAAAAAATAGAAAGAAAAATATAACAAAAAGAAAGAAAATACTACGAAAAGGCAGGATAGTTAAAAACTAAATACTTGAAGAAGAAAACAAAAGGAGAAGAAGACCTTCCAAATGATTTCCCCTTGCGTTCATCTCAACAGAACCAAGAAAACTAAACCTTTTCTGTTAAGCAGCATGTCATATTACTCAAAGAAAACAAAAGGAGAAGAAGACCTTCCAAATGATTTCCCCTTGCGTTCATCTCAACAGAACCAAGAAAACTAAACCTTTTTCTGTTAAGCAGCATGTCGTATTACTCAGTTAGCTAGAGTTATACTCATAGCTCGCTTGTCACAAGCACCATTTTGGAAAAGGAAATAGCTTAGCATGGAGAACTAACAATAAGAGAGTACCTTAATATGAACAACTTCGCCATCCTCAATAACCAAGACCTTTTTTGTATGTTCAACCAAAGCATTAGCATCACTGGATAAAAATAATTCCTTTGGTTGCCCATTGCTTGAAGGAAATTTAACATTACTAAATGATGATCCAACAGTGGCCTCTTCTTCCGAGTCCTGGAAATCAAATAATCTTATTCAAGAAACTTTGCTAAATGTTAGCATCATCGGTAAAATACTTCCAGTGATCATTTATTTCTTTATCTGCGTACATGATGTTTTTGACCCTATATGGGTCATTAGCTGTCAACTCAAAAGCATTCAGGGATAGCATGATTTGTACACCCACACACATCCAGATATACATATTCACACACACAAGTATGTACACTGTACACCAAGTTAGATTAGTTTAAGAAAAACATCACCGTCCCTACATATATCAGTTTGTATTGATTTAAAACTAGTATGATCCAATTCTTTACTAAAAGTTTTGACAATTCTAAAGCAGCCAAGTTGTGAAGCTATATAGAGAATTCCTAATAAGAGATTGAGAGGACCAAGTACACGGTTCACTTCTAAGACACCAAGTCAGATAAACTTGCAGAGCAGGAAAATTACCATATCTTTGCATATGCCAGTTAATGTTGGTCAAAGACTAGTTTACTCCACCTCTTAAAGTTCCCCAACTATCTTTCCCTTAACCCTTATCTGACATAGCTGGTCTTAGGTTCATGTCTCTCAAAGTTTCCCTGCTTAAAAGATTTTGGGAAAGGGTTCTATACACTGCTTTTGAAAGGGAAAAATCTCCATATCTTTGCATATGCCAGTTGATGCTCTCGCTCGCTCAGTTGATGCTCTCTCTCTCTCTCTCTTATTCCTCTCTTTTTTCGCACTATATTCTTCTCTCTTTTTGTGCAACATCAATATCAGACAATAGTGTCCTTTCATATGTGATAACACTAATATCTATCGTCTTTAGTGACTCAAGAAATAAGACATAGGGGATAAAAGAGCCAAACCCTTAATCAAACAGGTATAGCACTGGAAAAGGCCCATCTAACAAGTAAATATAAAGGCAAACAACAAGTTTATCAAAGCAAACGTAAGGAATCTGATATATGCTGATACAAGCTTCATTTCCAGTTTAACTTACTTTCACACCAAGAAGCAGTGGACTACCACGTTTGGAAGCAATCAATTCATTTGGGTAATGTCGGCTTTTGAATATGAGAGCATACGCTCCTTCCAAATGCCTTATTACTTCAAGCACAACTTGACTGAATGTCACGCTCTGGTCACCTGTGATGACAGTCTTAACACTTATCCTACTAACTTTATCCATAATTTGTATGCATTATAAGAACCGAAATTCAAAAGGAAAGAAACTATTTCAAAACCCGTCGTCTGACATTTCCAGCCAAAATATGTACAATGAAGTTTGTCAAAATGTGTCTACACTAATCAGAAAGACAACCATAACTCTAAGAATCTGATAAGAATTTGTTTAGTCCTCAGCTGTGACTGTGAACAGAAACTTCTCAAACACTAAACTGACTAGTGAGAGAATGTACGGACAACTTCTAGCAATGAACAAAAATTACCAACATATATTGTACTGCTATAGTTCACAGGATAAGATGTAACACTAACTCAGATGAGTCATTAACTTTTTAATTTAATTTGATTTAAGTCGTAATGGTAGTTTAAAACCTGATTGACATGTTGTCATAAAGAAATGATCCTTGGAATACATAAAGGATAGTTGGAGAAAGTGAATATAGGTTAAAAGCTGAAATATGAAGCTGGTACAGCACCAGAGCAGTTGCCACAACTGGTAGATTTGACGCTTTCATGGTAGGACCAAAGCAACGAAGCTTTTCCGCGTCATGGAGAAGGACTTAGTGCGACATGGTAAAACCATTATGAATAAGGAACGTAGGTCTGAAGGTTACTGCAACATGCAGGATTTACCATGCAGCGTAAGCCCCGTTCCAGTGTAAAATCAGCAAGGGTTTTCGGAAGTTCTTATACTTTGACCTTGGGTGCTTAAGCTCAATGTTGTAGATTTTGCTCCATGTACTTGCAGTCCAATCCTGGGTAAGTTTTGTTAGCAAGTATGAAGGTGTCTATACATGTATGGTGATATTAAGTATATTGAGATGGTTGTGTGCTACTTTACAAGCTTACCAGAGGTTCACTTGAAGGGGGTTACTAGTTAGGTGCTGGTCACGACCCCTAGTTTGGATCGTGACAAATGGCCAATGACTGAGTAGGCAAAAACATATATATAATAACATGTTCCCATTGCGTTAAAACAAGTAGTCAAAGACTATTTGGGGAGAATAAGTTGCATAGAGAAACCCAAAGAAGTCAATCACTGGGATAGAACATTGTAAAGAGAAACCAAATAATGATTAAAGTAACTTCATTGCAGAACAGAGATACAACCTCTGTCTCAGTTTACTTGACGCCACTTGACTAAAGTGGAGATCTGAAATATAGCTCGGATGTTTAGGTGCATTGAAACGAGTGAAAATAGGGGTAACTTTTTTAAACAATATGAAACCATGACCAAGAAATCGTTACGTAGTATTATCTTGTACATGCATTTGAATTTTGGGAATACAGGAATTAAAAAATTAGGTAAATTGTGAAGGAAATTGGATTGGATATGAAAACAGAAAATTGCCAAGTATATCTGGACAGAAATAGTCAATGGTATTATAAATCCCAAAACATGTTAACCCCTATTTTATAGGGACTTAAGGTTTTCCTTGACAAGGTAAAGAAGATTTTAAACTATCACAACAGTACTTAGCAAGTTTCTTTGCGGAAAGGTGCCAAAGGAGCCAATTAAATAAGTTGCAAAAAGTGAGATTTCATAGGATTGAGCTAAAATCGTCAAGTGTTGGAACTCAAAACAACCTAGAACCACAAAATCAGAGTGTAAAATATCATTTGTTTAGTTTCTAAAACTGCATAGTTAATATGCTAAGTTTTTGGGTCAAATTGGAGCTCTAGCCAGTATTTATGGATTTGATAATCTGCCAGAGGTTAAACACCAAAGCAGTGCATTTTCAAATTAATGGCAAGGCCCATGAGTTAATTATGATTCTTTTTCCCCTGTAAGAATTAAATTGGTCTTATTCGTTCTTAACCCTTTGATATCTTTGTTGAGTGATGGCCTGTGAGATGGGGGGTCTTATATTTAGTATTAGAGTAAAATCTAGTGTTAGCCATCAAGTATAAATTTGCTGGCTGTATCTTTTCCATGGATTTTTCACTTTTCACATAATTTAGACATCTCCCCTTTTTATGCTCTAGATCTTTAGAATCTATTTCCCAGGGTAATAGACTGATGACTGGCTATCCTTTTCCCACATTTCATGGAGAAGGAATCAAAAAGAAAAAGAGGTTTAGATGACAAAATGAAACTGCCTTCTGACAAATGAACTGGATTTACTTGGAAACTTACCTTCTTCATTAGCTTTATCAAAAACAAATTTTGCCAGCTTTGGAATTACTTCTGTGTCTGTTTCAGAGTCAAAGGTGAAACCTTGACGGACAAGGGTCTGTTTTAACACCTGGAGAATCAAAAGACAGAGGTGTGTATCAGCACATAGCACTCAGCCACATATTACAGGAAAGTGATCAACAATATCTTAATGCAAACAGAAAAAAATTATTAAGAGATATAACACAATTCAGGGTGCATCTTTATTTATAGGTAATCTGCGGTATATATTTTTCTCCTTGTGAACTTCAATCAGTTCAAAAAGAAATTAAAGAAAGAAAGTGAAGAAGAAACTCTAAAACAAAAAATCAAAATGCAAAAAACAGTTATATCTAATTAACGTGCTCAAGATTACTATTCAACAGATATTTCAAGTCCAAACTTATTTCTCATTTCAGAACGAACAAGCAAAAATACTAGACGAACACTAACTCTCAGAAAGGAAACATGACACTATTATTAATTCTCTACGTAGTGGTAAATATAAAAAACCATTGATAGTATAGCCATATATTCACCATCAGATCAGAAGGGGACAACATGAACTAAAACTTCAGGTTCCACATGGAAAGAGATATTACATCTGAGCATTGTCAACAAGTTATCATAAATCCTCCATCTGGACAAAATTCTTACCACCATGATCTGGAGACCTATACAAGAAAAAACTATATGTTGCGACCAGACTGAATGAGTTCCATCTTCCGCTAAAGGAACTGTATGCTAACTCGAGGTTCTAAGTACTTATATGAGACTAACTCCAAATACTCTGATATCTACTAACTAAAATCAAATGTATTCCAATCGACTACATGAACAAGCAACCTTACGATTACACAGCCCTGAGAGAGTCACTGTATGGCTCTCTTTTTTTGTCTTTTTTGGGATAAAGGAAGTCACTTTATGGCTCTAAGGATAGGGCTTTCAATCTGAGAACCCACGACAACTGCAAAGTTAATATTATTGTTGGATATATTGTTAGACCAAAGAATACTTGATATCTTATAGTGTCCTTTTTATTCCTTCTCTGTATTATAAATAGATTGAGTTTCAGCCAACATGGCTGCCATTCTTCCCATAGAGCTGAACCTTTGATATTTCGTTTTATTTCTAGAAGATGCTTGAACAGGTTATTTTTTCAACTAAGTTGGCATAAGTTAAGTTGTTACAGAAAAGAAAATTGTTCCTCGATCACAACAGAAATAGTACTGTACTGGATTGGTTTACCAATTAGAGCATTGGTATCCAGTTGTGAGTATATGACCTAGACGCTGTCGCTGTTGCATGACTTTCACCACCAATGACCAAAGAAGAGTATGTAATATTGTGGATTAGGGATGGTCAGGTCTCCAGATATGCCAAATCGTATCCTTAATGAAGCATATCTTTCATGCATGTTTCTATGTGTAACAACTGCATGATCCACAAGGGAATTTCATACTTGCATTTATCAGTTGTTTGTCTTTCCTTCCGACTAATTAAAAACATTGATCAGATATTCTATCAGACTCTTTCCCATGGCTTCTTCACTACCGTATTTCTTTTTCAAAACTGTTGTGATTATGCTTTTCTTGAGCCGAGGATCTACCGGAAACAGTCTCTCTACCTTTACAAGGTAGGGGTAAGGTTTGCGTACAGTTTACCCTCCCCAGACCCCACTTGTGGGATTACACTGGGTATGTTGTTGTTGTTGACCAGATATTCTATCCTTGCAGATATCAGAAGTTTCTTTCCTTAAGTTCTCATCCAATGTTCAAAGTAAATGAATAAAGCTTCACTGTCTCCCTCCATTAGCTTAAATCACCAAGAATGAATTAATTGTTAGTCTTTAGCTTAATACTTAGTTTCAGTGTCATGTCAGCTCTAATTTGTAACTTCAAATTTGCTTAAAAGAGAAAATGCTGACAATGTTCCACAGGATCAAGATAGTACTTACAGTACTGAATAAATTCAAGGATAAAAATAAGTTTTTCAGCTAGGATATAGTCCCTGTGAATTTTACCTTTTAAAAGAATCTTTCAGAATTCAGAGAGAAGTTCCAAATTCTAACAAATGTATTTTTTTATCAACAGCAACCAAATTCTAACAAATGAGTGAACTGTAATCCAAACATACGACACATAATACAAAAAGTAGAATCACTCAAAGCTAAAACCTATAAATAGTTCAAGAAGCAAATAATAACATTTTGTTAGGCCAAAATCCAATGAACAGAATCATGCATGTAAAAGAAACAGCACTCTAGCTTGTCACAGAGAATGAGAGTAATCATGAGATCGAACAAAAAATGTTATAAAAGAAATCTATTATCAAGAGAATCATATGAACCTCATAATTGGTGATAACACCATTGTGAACAACCAAAAATTCATTCCTAGCATCAGAGGACTGAGGATGACTATTCCGAGGAGCAGGCTCCCCATGTGTGGCCCACCGAGTGTGTGCTATTCCAGCATGAATAGAAAATGATTCCTCCAGATTCAAATCTATAGCGGCAATGTCTGAGCACATGAATTCAATGTAAGCGCCAGAAAATGAGACTCAACCCCCCCCCCTCCCCCCCCCCCCCCCCCCATATAAATGTAAATGTATAAGTAAACTTTAAAGGAGAAATATTTAATAATGTTTTGGCCATTTTATTAGAATGGAGCCATGGAGGACAAAAACAGATAACTTTCTGATCCTGGTTTTACGACGTCGCTATGTACTCTGACAAGTTGTTAACCACAGTTGAACATAGTCATTGCTCAATATCAAGCAAAATTGACTCAACATACTCTCACAATAAAGCATCAAGTTAAGGTTCAAAAGTTTGAATAGTAAGCAAGAGAGAAAACCAAAAGTTTGAAAATGTATGAGAGCAATGTCTTCAACAGTTTGTGATACAGAAAAATAATTTTGCTTTATTTAAAGACTCCTAGTCCCAATGATTATGAGATACTACTTCTAAGGTAGCTGGCTGAATTATGTTTCATTAATAACATAGTTGTATAATTACAATACATGTGACCAATTACATCCCAATGATTGTGAAATACCACCCATAAGTTATCTGCTTGATTTATCTTCTCTAATTAAGTAGTTACATGATTATACTATTTACATGTGACTAATGTAAAATGAACCCCATACATCTCTGACAAAAGAAATTCATAAAAAGAGAGGATGTTGGAGGTTCAGCAGGCCCAACCACATACACTCCTACATAATCAAGCAAAATGAATTCCATGAACGCTGACTAGGAAGCAGAACAATAAGGTTTGAAAATGCTTTTTAATAAAGAAAAAACATGAAAAAAAGGCGAACAATGTATTCAAACCTTCACCTCCCCTAATTCTTGCTCTTGGCCAAGGACGAAGTCTTTTCAACAGTTAAGCATGGTCATTTTCTTAAACTATTGAACATGCTAAGAGTAGTCAAAAAAAACCTCTCATATTCAACTTGTGGCACGCATCACTCTCCCCAACATCTGAAGAAACTATCTGTAGTCTAAAATGTTGATAGTGAGCATAATGAGCTCTAAGTTTACAATCATTCTACTTTCTACTAGGGAAAAATGTAATCTCTTTGTTTTATCCTACACAACTTCTATTCTGTCCTTCAACATCACGCCATGTTTCCTCTATTGCTCAACATTACTGAGTCTAATTGGTTCCAAAAATAAACTACTTCAAACCCATTAAAGGATCAGAGCTTTGTCGACTATTTATGCCTGCTAATTATCCCTAATAAGCTCTTGCATACAGAAGAATGAAAACATCAAATCTTGGTAAATTTTAGAAAATTATGTATACCTGGTTAAAATCCCATACGTAGTGAATAGTATACTACACAAAGTTCTCATTTCATAAGCATCATGGAAGGAAACAAACAAGCTACTCATTATGGTGGAGACTGCTCGTATATTTATTCAGTTACGGATTGATTAAAGTAGTCCATATTCCCTTTGACATGACCTTACGGTGTGTATGTTTTAATGAATCAGATTCCCCTTAACATTAGCATCTTTTGCACAACGTTCACGCTTATCTTGTCTTAACAATGCTCACCTTTTCCAACAACTATCTAGAAAGCCAAGTGAGAGCTTTACATAGAATATGTTAGTATCCCCCACCTTCTACGTGCCATCATTCAAATTGCCAAAAATAAGGAAAAAGTTGACAACTTTTTACGCAGATTCAGCACTTAAAATTTGCAGTCACCCACTAAGATCATCCCTTCTATCATATATCATTTGAATTCGTGATACTCTGCTAAGAACTGCAGTGCCTCAGTAGGCACTAGACACTGAGGTGAGGCTAATACTTTAACCAATACTTAATACTATCCATTACCATTTTATACCAGTAATAATAATAGGAAGAGGGGGGGGGGGGGGGAATAAGTAGGAAGGGGGGGGGGGGGGACGGTTCTCTAATCATGAAAGATGCATGAAAGGGAAGTTCAGAGTGAAAAAAAAAGACAGCCAGTGCACTAAGCTCACACTATGTGCACGGTGCGAGGAAGGACTAAACCACATTGTGTCTAATGTACACAACTTTACTATACATTTCTGCAAGACACTGTTTCCACAGCTTGAACCCATAACGATCTGGCAAAGTATATCTCACTTTTTACAGCCTCTTAGCAGTAGCATTCCCTAAAGAAATTATTCACCAAAAGGATTTGGTCTTCCACAGTTGCCAAAAAGATCATGACTTTATTTCGGAGCAGTAATCATGACGTCCTCATCACAAACAGAAAGGAAAAAAGAGCAACAGGCAGATCAACAAATCAGAAAACTTATTTACCTTGGTAGGCAGATTTGACGAGTGATTCGATATTGCCTTCTTGGCGGAAGACTAAAGGAAGGAAATTGGAATCGGAAGAATCATCAATAGAAATTCCAGCGGAATCATAACCTCTGTACTCCAAACGCCTCAGTCCGTTAAAAAGGACTTCCAGTATGTATCGTCTCTCTCTACTCACGTTGTAATTCAAATACGCAAATATGCCACACATTTTCTGTGATTAATTTCTTTCTTTTATTTATGGTCTGCAGATTGAAAGAATGGTTGATTTGAAGGAAGTGATGAATAACTGTCTCCGTATATCTATAGACTCTGGAATAGAAGGGTGATGAGATTTGACTCTGGAATTTCCAAAGTTGGATTCACTACACGACAAGTGCTAAGTCGTTGATTGTTGATCGGGTTCGTTCTACAGCTATCACAATATCTCCCCTAGTGGGTAATATTAATCTCTTTCTTTCGATGTCAACACCTTTTTTGTCTCTGTCAAAGGGGTGTTACCTTTTTTCACACCAAATTCTCAATCGTATTACTTCCTTCGTCCTAGGGTGTTAATGCTAAACCGACCGTAATAAACCCATTACGAAATTTATTTTAATAAATTGTAGGCTTTTTGTATACGGTCAAAATCAGGGAAGATCGATTTTGAGGCTTCTATGGCGTTCTGAGTTCGACCTCGATGGGCTCGAAGCATAGCCTAAGGCTCGACCCCGAAGTGCTCGCCTCGAGAGGGTGTATTGAAGGCCCATCATAGCGTACCTCGAGGCAGCATGAAAATTGACGATCGTCATGGAAAGGCAGGAAAGCTCCCAAGGATACGTGGTTGGAACTGACCAGGTCTGCAAGAATAATATCAATCCGTATTGAGCCATTATACAGCTATACCAATAGCCTTTTCCCATCATTATTAGACATGTACTATGTTAGGATTCCCCTCCTATATAAAGGGGACCTTGTCATCTTGTAAAGGGAATCGGATTATTACACAACATATTGAATACAATACAACATTCTCTGCTATTTGCTTAAACAATTGTTCTACACATTTATTTCTTATTCTTTCATTGTTCATTTATTGCTCATTATTAACCGCAAAATGCCATCTTTGAGGCCTCATTGTCATTGTTTCTTCATCAATAAGCTCACTACCAACTGCCTTAAGCAAGCCTTGAAGCCCCTGCTCCGGCCAGCTCGAGGCTCGATTTTGTGACAACTTTGGTTTGCTTTCATTATTCTCTTTATTTACACTTAGCATCTACTGCCTAACACCTAGTATTAAAATAAGTCACATATTTTTAGAACCACAAAATCAATATAATTGTCATTACCATTTTCAAGGTAAACAGTTTGGCGCCCACCGTGGGGCTAAAAATAATAGTGATTGTTTTGGTGCTAGTTTTCTGAAAACACAAGTTATTCTTCATACTTTTTCTTGTCCAAGAATCTCTGATTTCAGGTCAAAATGTCTAACTCAGCAAATGCACGCGAAAACAACGGTATTGGGCTTCAGGGAGAAAACGGTGCAGACGTCGGTGTACCACCGCAAAACCCAAGGGTAGCACCAGCAAATGTCGGTTTACCACCGCAAAACCCAAGGGAGGCACCAGCACAAACCCCCATTGACGTGAGCTCACGGAACGTTGTGCATGTCGATGTAAGCTCTCCTACCGACAGAAGTGTGCGCGGTGAGGAAAGAGACGTTAGTCTTCAAGTCATTTTTGAAATGTTGCAAGCACAACAAGTGGCTATTGCTCAGCTACAAAGTCACCAAAAAACTCCAAGCACAGTAGCACCAAAAACGGCTGCTCGAATCGAGCAGGCACCAGAGAGATCGAGTAATAACGGGTCAGCAACAGACCCCGCTATTATGAAGATGCTCGTGGACCTCACGAAAAGGATTGAATCAGGAGAAAAGAAGATAGAGGATAACGATAAAAAGGTGGAGACTTATAACTCGAGGGTTGATTAGATCCCGGGTGCACCTCCGATCCTGAAGGGCGTAGATTCAAAGAAGTTCATACAAAAACCATTCCCACCAAGCGCGGCTCCGAAGCCCATCCCGAAGAAATTCAGAATGCCCGATGTCCCGAAGAATAACGGGACCACGGACCCCAATGAGCACGTCACCGCTTATACTTGTGCTGTAAAAGGGAATGACTTAAAGGATGACGAGATTGAATCCGTCTTGCTAAAGAAATTTGGAGAGACACTGTCGAAAGGGGCCATGATGTGGTACCACAACCTACCTCCGAACTCGATAGATTCATTTGCCATGTTGGCAGACTCTTTTGTGAGGGCGCACGCTGGTGCCATCAAGGTCGCCACCAGGAAGTCTGATGTCTTCAAAATCAAGCAGAGAGAAAACGAGATGCTAAGGGAATTTGTATCTCGATTTCAGATGGAGCGAATGGCATTACCACCGGTCTTCGATGACTGGGCAGTGCAAGCCTTCACTCAGGGCTTGAACGAACAAATCTCGGTAGCTTCGAAGCAACTAAAACAAAATTTGGTTGAATATCCCGCCGTGACCTAGGCGGATGTGCACAACAGGTATCAATCGAAGATCAGGGTCGAAGACGACCAATTAGGAGCCCCTTCGGGCTCAGTATATCCTAGCAGGCTCTTAACAAAGGAACAAAGGTTTACGGAAAGGGAGTCGAGACCAAACAAGGAAAGATACCGGCCTTACGTAGAAGATCGAAGGAACGCCCCGAAGCGTAATGTGCCTCGAGGCGATCGAAGGACAGATCGGGGTCAAAATTCCGGGGACTCATGAGTAAAGCCGGGTTTGATAGGCACACTAGGCTAGTGGAGGCACCCCGGCTATCCGAGTACAATTTTAACGTCGATTTCTCGGGCATCGTATCAGCCATAGGCAGAATCAAAGATACCAGGTGGCCAAAACCCATACTATCAGACCCTTCACAAAGGAACCCTAACTTGATATGCAAATATCACGGCACTCACGGTCATAGGACCGAGGACTGCATACAGCTTCGAGAAGAGGTAGCCCGTCTGATCAGCAAAGGGCATATTCGAGAGTTCCTCAGCGACCGAGCTAAAAACCATTTTCGGGAAAGAGAGGCGAAGAGGAAAAACAAACCAGAAGAACCACGGCACGTCATCCACATGATCATTGGAGGGGCCGATGCCCCACAGGGACCCGTTGTCAGACGAATGGAAATATCCATCACCAGGGAAAAGCGAACTCGGAATTACATACCAGAGGATGCTCTCACATTCAGCGAAGAGGACATCGAGACCTTGTCTCATCCTCATAATGACGCACTGGTAATTTCTTTTCTTTTGAATAAATTTCAAATTAAACGTGTGCTCGTGGACCCAGGTAGCTCGACCAACATAATCAAGTCGAGGGTGGTGCATCGGCTCAAACTGCTCGAGCAGATCGTACCCGCCTCTTGAGTCCTCAATGGATTCAACATGGCGAGCAATACGACGAAAGGGGAGATCGTCCTCCCGGTCAATGTAGCCGGTACAATCCAAGATACCAAGTTTCATGTTATCGAAGGTGACATGAGATATAATGCCTTGCTTAGAAGGCCGTGGATACACAGTATGAGGGCAGTGCCATCAACCCTCCATCAAATGATGAAATTTCCATCCAAGGATGGAGTAAAAGCAGTGTACGGGGAGCAGCATGCAGCAAGAGAGATGTTTGCGGTACACGGCATGGCACCGGCATCGACGTCCCCTACACCGAAAAAGCCAAAAGACAAGCAAACAGCCGGGTAGGAACCACAACCGACATTCTCAGCTACATCCAAATATGGGAAATAAGGACCGTACCGCGTCCTCGGAGCAAGCGATTAAAACGTATCGGGGCTCGAATGCTATTATTGCTAAGGTACAACCCCTCCCCCCCCCTTTTCATTTACGTTTTATACTAACCTATTGCAGGTATTCAATTGAAAGGAGTCGAAGCACCCTCTAGATCAAAGACCTTGGGTTTTAAAGCATGCGTTGCGCTCTTTTTCCCTTGGACTGGGTTTTACCCCGAACGAGTTTTACTGGCGAGGTTTTTAACGAGGCAACACTCATATGCTACCTAAGGAGAACTCATTAAGTAATCAAGGTTTCTCTTCAATCAACCTCAAATACTGGGGGGCATCACCCTAGTAGGTCACCTCTCAGAAGAAATCAAACTATGCCTAGGAGGACCTCGATAGGAAAACGTTGTATTGGGCCAAACGGTCAAACGAATCGTGTCCATGTAGAATAATCGAGCCTCCAAAGGCAAAAAACATGTACGCATATATCAAGTAATTGAGGAAGCCTCTTGCTTATCAACACTTTGTGCCTCGAAGAAATTCTCTACTGTCATGAAAAATGGCCCAAGAGCGAAAAACTCTCGAACACCCGGGGACTGTTATCAACAGTCAGCTCATCGAGCCATCGAAGACTCCAATTCGTAAGACCTTGATCAGGCAACTTCGAGCTCGTAAGCCCTCAGTGAGGCAACATCAAATCTGTAAGACCTAAACAAGGCATGCTCAAATTTATAAGACCTTAAAAAGGCATAACCCCGATATTAAGGCCTGGGCTATATATTCGAACTTGTAAGACCCCTAAAAAGGCATACCCTCAATATAGACGCCAAGGTCACTGCACACGGGGACTAAAGGCTACGGCCAAACATAAAGACTACGGTCGAACTTAAAGGCTACGGCCGAATTAACGCGGCTCGGAGACGTCCGACTGCTGCCATAAAACTAAAGGCCTCCAAATACTTCGAAAATGCTTCGAAAAAGAACCGGTTAATCAAGCTACCCTCGGCATAAGCAAAGGATCTTCGATAATATCTGCTCCGAACAATAAAAAGGCTTCGAAAACAATCAGCCTTCGATGAAAAAGTTTCGAAAACTCAACCTTCGAGCGAGCCTCCCAAGGTACTCAGCTACTGTCACATATCGACTCATAATCGAGGTTCTCGGTTGAGCCGTCGAAGAGTCGGACGAACATAAAACATGCCAAGGCATAATCAAAACTTCAAAAGTCTTTAGCTAGAATGAGGGAAAACTATAGCCATATTAGAGGTCGCATCTACCCAATCTAAAAAGAGCCCAAGGGCCAACGCGTAAGAGCCTAAGGGCCAGCCTAAAGAGCCTAAGGGCCAATGCGTAAGAGCCTAAGGACCAGCCTAAAGAGCCTAAGGGCCAATGCATAAGAGCCTAAGGGCCAGCCTAAAGAGCCTAAGGGCCAATATGTTGAAAACCTAAGGGTAAATGAGCCCGAGTCAAAATTTGACTCGAGGATCGAACATCGAACGGTCAACTATTATCAACCACTCATCAAGCATGAAAACCTGAGGGGTTTATATCATAAGTCCGACACACCGAACTGGTTATCGACAAGCATCGAATTTTTTTCCAAAAAGGCAAAGGGAAAACAAGAAATGACAAAAAGCAAAAATCCATATATATATGATAAAGTTTCACGAAGACGTATTTACAAGGCTCACTCCGAGAGCCCTTACACAAAAAAGGAACAAATGAAAACCTAATCTACCACCAGGGTTACTTGACCAAATGG